CCTTCCCCACGTGGTTCCGGCCCAGGGCTGCGGTTGCCATGGCGACGGCCGAGCCGGAGCCGGGCCGGGGCAACTCGTGCTCTGTGGACCCGGGTGTGGACTCCGGCCTTCCCGCCCTGGAGGATGAGGAAAGAACCAGGAGAACCGGCGTTCGGGGCTCGGGACACCGGGCCGCCCTGGCGCCTGGCCGCTAGTCGGACCAGCAGGTGGCCTGGGCGGACGGCGGGCTGCGGAGTCCGGCCTGGCCGCTCGCCTTCTCACTTTCCTTCCCTCTTATTTCTCCTGTGAGCCTATGTGCCTTATGGCAAATAATTGTTTTAAGATTGAATTTTGTTTAAAGAATTATTATTTTGGAGAGGTTTTTGGTATAGGGTGCGTGCGGTCGCCAGACAGACAGAGACAGAGAGACAGAAAGCGAGAAATCACCCCCCAGGGGGGATGGCCACGCCACAATCCCTTCTCCATTCTCCTCTCAGGATCTTGAGCACGCACGCACACGCGCCTGGCGTGAGTTTAACGGGCCCGGGACTCGAACTGCGGTCCAGTGACATAGCCATTATGCCAACTGCTGGTCCCTAAAGAATTATTTTTATTTATTTTAATTGAAACAGAGAGAGAAAATTAGAAAGCAAGCCACCAAGTCCAGGACTCAAACCACGGTCAGCCATGCAGGAGTCCAGCACCCTTAACCACCACACCACCTGCCAACCTCCTTTTTATTATTATTATTTAATTTGACCAAAAGAGAGGGAAAGTGAGAAAGCAAGCCTCCGTTTCAGCACTCCAACCACAGTTTGCTATGTGGGAATCCCAAATATATATATATATTTTTTTTTGGAGAGGTTTTCACTATAGGGTGCATGCGCTCGCCAGACAGAGACAGACAGAAAGCGAGAAGTCACCCCCCAGGGGGGACGGTCACGCCGCAATCCCTTCTCCATTCTCCTCTCGGGAGCTTGGGCACGCATACACACGTGCCCGGCGTGAGTTTTAAGCCACCGGGTCTGGGACGCGAACCATGGTCGACTACGTGGGAGTCCAGCGACATAGCCATTATGCTAACTGCTGGTTCCCCCAAATAATTCTTTTTAAAAAAAAAAAAAAAAAAAACGGGCAGGAGCTGGGTGGTTAAGGCGCTGGATGCTCCCACATGGCTGACCACAGCTTGAGTCCTGGACCTGGTTGCTTGCTTTCTCACCTTTTCTCTCTCTCTCTCTCTCTCTCTCTCTCTGGTCAAATTAAAAAAAAAATACATAAATGAATAAATAAAGTTAATAATTTTTAACATTTTAAAAATTAAAAAATGAATAGGGGTGTTTCCGTCTGATGGCTTGGTTTGAAACAGACTGGACACATGTGCATGCATACCCAAACTCCCCAGAGGACAACTGAGAAGGGATTGTGGCATGGCCATCCCCAAGAGGTGCTATCTCACTCTCTGTCTCTGTCTCTCCAATGAGTGCGTGTGCCCGATAGCAGAAATCTCTCAAAATAAGTTAAATAAGTACTTCTTTTAAAAAAAGAATTTGTCGGAATCAGGTGTAAGGTCCAAGTCTGACAGGAAGACCTCAGTAGCAGTCTTGGGCATGTCGTAACAGTCTGGGCGACCCAGGCAAAAACAAAACACAAAACATCCCGCATAGCTGGCAGGGTTTGGGTCTCAGCGCTCAGCCCCAGTGGCTTGGAGAATGCTGGCGCGTGTGGTGCCGGGCCCCCGGACCCCCATAGGATGGAGAAATGGAAACCGGGCTGCAGTGTGGGCACGTCCATCGGGTGCTTTTCCCCTTTATCTGCCTGTCGTCCTCTGCGTACTACACGTGCCCTCTGGCAATTACATTTTATTTTATTTATTTATTTATTGTTTATTTTGAGAGGTTTTTGCTATAGGGTGCATGAGCTCGCCACAGAGACATAGAGACAGAAAGCAAAAAATCACCTCCCTAGGGGGCATGGCCACGCTGCAATCCCTTCTCCTCCA